TTGATATTATGCAAGTAGTAGCTCTACTCATGCCAAAGTGAAGTGCTGTTCACAAAGCACTTCCACAGACGCTACACAACTGGTCGCTACGGGAACTGTACAAATGGTCATGCAACTAAAGTGCACAATCCTTGTTGTCTGAGTGTCATGGCCAGCATATTTATGATGGTGTAACTTTATGTTACATAAAAATAAAGAGGACTCTGACCACTGTCTTGTAATTTACTGAGTTAGTATGTAGTCAGTCCACTGTCTAACAATATTATTATCTATCATTTATAAAAGCCAGTAATGTTGTAGACTGTAAAAATTACTTGTGCATTTTTGGTTTACATTGAATGATGATAAAAAATCATAGATTGTAACAGTTATTAGCTTCATAGTTTTGAATTTTATTTCGAATCATGGAATAATAGAGCCAGAATGAACTGTAAATATCATCCAGTTCCCCACAGAAGCAGGAAATCCACTGCTAAAGCAACCTTGAGAGGTGTCCATCCAACTTCTACTTAAAAATCTCCAATGAAGGAGGGTCCACCACCTCCTGAGGCAGTCTGTTCCACTGTTCAGCAGCTCTTACTGCCAGGAACATCTTCCTAATCTTTAGTTAAAACTGCCTCTCTTGTGGATTGGTCCCATTCTTCAAGTCCTACTCTATGGAGCTGGAGAAAATAAGATTTTTCACACTTTCCACATGACAGCCCTTCAAAAGTCTGAAGACGACTATCGTATCACCTCTCAGTCTTCTCTGGATATCCAGTTTGATCTTTTATTTAGAAGGGAAAACAGTGAATATAAGAGACTTAAAACATACAAGTCAGCAGTAGGGCAAAAGACATTTGAGCATGCTCCCAAAGTGTGATACAACACAAAGAATTTCAACTAAAACTAGGAGCTGTCTGGATGTGATTCTTTTCCAAAGGGCAAGTGATCCAATGTGTCCCAACACAAAGAATTTCAACTAAGAGCTGTTTGGATGTGATTCTTTTCCAAAGGGCAAGTGTTCTCAGGTAATCATTCTGAGTCTCAAAAAGTTGAATCCACAAGTTAATGTTGCTTTTATACTGCTACATGCTCATCCTCCAACATAAGCTTCCCCTGATAAATTACTGGCTCAGTTCTGCAATTTGATAACGTTCTGGGGATGTCTTTTACGTGCTTAAGTAACGTTCATTAATATGTGTGTGTGTTTATTCTGTGCCGTCAAGTCAGAACCGACTTATAACTACCCTAATAGGGCTTTCAAGGTAAGCGAGACATTTAAGGAGAGGTTTTACCAGTTCCACTCCCCCAGTGAGTTTCCATGGATGAGTGGGGAATCGAACCCTGGTCTGCGGAGTCCTAGCCTGTCCCTATATCCATGACACCACCCTGGGAATCCTTAATAGAGATGCCATTTCCCCACAGGCTACAGTTTTCTCTCCCAGATCCAGAAGCTTAATGGAGAGGGGAATATCTGCAGCTCACATTAATTAAAAATCTGTGAAGATTTCCAATCATCCAGGTGAGGTTATCTGGAAGTTGAATCATGGCAACTGGACTTCTTCCTTATTAAGCTGAAACATTTTGCTACTCATCCAAGTAGAAGAAGCTACTTAGATGAGTAGCGAAATGTTTCAACTTAATAAGGAAGAAATCCAGTTGCCATGATTCAGCTTCCAGACAAATTAAAAATTGGAGCTTGGGAATTTTTCCCTTTGGAACTACAACTCTGAGAGCCTTCTGGCAGGCATGGACAATAATCATACTGGTTGAATGATTCTAGGAGCTGTACTCCAAAAAAAGGGTAAAATTTCCAAGTTCTGACAAAACCAAGCCTACATGGTTTGCTGTTCGTGCTCTCTATATACAGTGGTGCCCCGCATAGTGATGATAATCAGTGCAGCAAAAATCGTCGCTATGCGAAATTAAAAAGCCCATAGGAATGCACTGAAACCCCTTCAATGCATTCCTATGGGCTTAAAACTTACCTTTTAAGCGAAAATCCTCTATACGACGGCCATTTTAGCTGCCCGGTATGCAAGGAATCCGTCCCTGTTTTACCCGGTGGCCATTTTGGAACTGCCGATCAGCTGGGGAAAAACATTGCTATGCAAAAATCGGTAAGCGAAACAGCTTACCGATCATCACAAAGCGATTTCCCCCCATAAGAAACATCGTTATGCAATCGCAAAAGCGATCGCAAAAACATCGTTGCTATGCGGCTTCGTTTCTAAACGGGGTGCCTGTTATGTGAGGCACTACTGTATACTTAAACTAGCCACTTTTATGGGATTGGGGATGCAAGAAAAAGAGTCATGGGGTCCTGATCTGCAACATGCTCCCAATGAGGAGTAGGAACTCTATGCCTGCTTTCTGCTGAACCTCCTCCTCCTCCTGATTCTCAGTTTCTCTTTGTTTCTCACCACTCTGTACACTGCAAATAGCACATTAAGAGGCAGACAGGTCATTTCAGGATGAAGGGGTGGATTTTTGGCAGGAAATTGATATAAGCCACAAAATCTGCTAGACCCTTATGGATGTCCACTTCACTTCCTTCTTTTCACAACAAACATGCTCAGTTTTTAAAAATGTGTCCATAAACATTGGGTGTAGCTGGGTCCATTTCTCATGCCACAGCTAAGAAGGTCTGTTGCAATTATTTATAACACTGACTATGCTTTAAACAAAAAACCAAAGGTCTCTTTGTTTTTACAGCCTTAAAGAATAGACCATTACAGAATAAATGAACACAGCATAGCAAAGATCTGTCAGCGATGGACAACTGAGCGCAGTCATTTTTGATGTAAGAAGAGAAGTGTAACATGTATACAAAAGTGTCCTTATATTACCTGTAAATGTTGGAAATTATTTAACTGGAAGTCTTAAAGTATGTACATAATTATCTCATTGCAAGTATACAGGAAAACAATGCAAAAGTCATAGCAAAAGGTGACGCCCTACAGTGTTTCATTATAGTGGAGCCCAAAGTGGTTGACTAATTAAAAGCTCCCAAGGCAGGTCTTCCAAAAATCAATCTGCATGTGTCAGGATAAGCAGGACATTTTCACTATATGCAGCAACAATGTTTGTTCTTTTGCCCTAGACTTTGGGTAACTGCAGTCCTGAGAACCAAGACTCCTATTTTGGTTGGAAGCTTCCACCACTTGATTAGGAAACTGGTGACCTTGTAATTTTGCCAGCTGAGTTTCACCCGCAACAAGCATGAAACATTAGGAAAGTTGCAGTGACATCTCCATGTACAAACACAGTTCTGGTTTTATAAACGGGTTCTTGGCCTGCAATATCTTTCCTGTTTCCAACTACTGAAGAATGTGGATACAGCAGACAAATTATATTTGCCACCTCATGCTGCTGTCCCCCTAAATGCCACATGGCTGTAAGTGTACATAAGTATTGCTGCAGAAGGACACAGTAACAGCATGTAATAGAAAGAGATACATTTTCTATTTTCAAAGACACTGACAAACATCAACAAAGGAATCATAGCTTTAGAACTACTTCGCACATTCACTAGTAAAACAGTATCTGGGTTCACAAAATAACTGTATAATGCCGGCAGGAAAACTTTCAAGAGTGTCGCAAATGTTACATTTTTTTTTTGCAAGAGATACATTTTTCAGTCTAATAATCAAATATGAGAATGAGTTTAGCACCACTTCCAAAAGAAAATGATGTAGTTAGAAATATTAGCAAGAAGATAGTTTAGTTTCGAAAGGGCAATACTAAACACCAAGAGAAATGTTAGAAATCCTACTCAGATTTCTGCAAACTCATCAGGAGCTAAAGATGTTTCTCCAAGTGGGTGCCCACACTCAAATGTGTTACTAACTCAGTCCCCTTCTCCTTGTGATCCTTCTAGCAGTTAAGGGCCAATTTTCTCTTCATCTCAAATCCCGGCCTCTCCCAGATTGCTGGTGTCTATACTGCCATCTGCTCACAAGGATATAATGTGATGGCATGAGGAAGAAACAGATGTGGAACCTTGCATGTAGTGGGTTTTGAAGTGAGTCTTGTTTATTGTTTTCTTGATGAGAGGGAACCTCTGCAGACAGGGGTCTGCAGTTTTTCACTATCACAGTTGGCAAGCATAAATGAATAGAGAGGATTCTTGGCCAGACACCAGCAGCCTGAACATGCATGACCAAAATAAATGAAATGGAATTTTAGTAAACATGTTCAGGGTTGTAGGCTTGGGCAACGCTCTTATTATCACAGCCCCAGCACTACTCTGACGTAATTTCTTCAGAATAAGTAGAGTGTGAACACATTTAAGCTGCCATTCACAATCTACTTATTCGCTGCAAGATGGATTCCTGACATTTCTACTGGAGTATTTTCTAATACCTGTACCTTCTATAAAATTCATATTAGAATGTATTAAGGATGTACTGTAGTTTTATGCCTCTTCAATATGATAATACAAGGATGAGAAATTAACATATTCATTCCCTAGCAGATTTGCTGTTATCTCCCTAATAAGTTCAATAGATGATCACAGGCAGTGGTACTTCTGCGGCAGTCTCACAGTAATATACTACTGGAATAAAGCATGAAAAACACCTAAGAACTAGAGAGTTTTTTTTCCAATGCTTCTGCCTTCAAGAAACACTTGCCAGATTGTTTTGTCCACTGAGGAATTCCTGAGCATCAGTTCTGAATCTCTGTGCAAACCAGAGGCCAGTGGAACATATTCTAGGCCTCCACTTCGGTATATGTTGGAGGACACCTGCAAGCTCTCCTGGGAATCAGGAGAACACCCTTAAACAAACCCAACATATATTTGCACTGGCCTACTGCAGAACAAATTAGCAGTTAACAAATTAGCAAGCTGTTTTACAGGATGGCCTCTTGAGCATACCTAGAAAGCTACTGAACCAAAATTTGAGCAGTAGCATCTGAATATACAAGGTCTAGCACTGATATTGTTAAAAATTGTCAAATGGTATCTGACATTGAAAACAAAATTATGGAATCACTGCCTTCCCCATCATGCCTACCTTGATCATTGTTGCTCTCAGGGCTGAGAACAGAAGGGCTTGACCCCATTTCTAGAATCTGCCAGATTTCCTCCAATGAGCTATGTGTACCAGATGATGACAACAGGCCTTGCTGAAATTGCTTGGGATCTTCTTTTGGGGACTGTTCAGACTGATGTAGCTTGAAGACTTCATGCTTTGGGGAATTTGCAGGACAAGTTTTTACTAGTGATTCCATCTGAACCTGTGGAAATGACAACAATCCTTAGTATTTTCCAATACATGAGATCAATAACATTGGATGGAAAGTGAAAAGCAGGTGTATAAGGCCAATAACAATTCCTATGTGTAGATCAGGTAACTTCTGCTGTAACTTTTGACATGCAAGTACAAGATGAGGTTAAATATATTTCACAATGGCTTTGCCTAAACTCACAGTTTGCTTTCTAACACAATACTACATATACATCTAGATCCACGTAGACGAACATTCTTAGCAAGCAAACAGTAGCATCAAGGGCCCACTTGAATTCTAACATGTCTAACTTGGCTTCAGTGACCCATGCCTTCCTTACCTCCTATTAGGATTACTATAACACACTCTACACAGGGTAGCCTTTGAAGATGGTTCAAAAACTTCAGCTAGTTCAAAATGCTGCAACCAGACTGATGTCTGGAGCCAATTACCAGGACATTTAACTCCCTTGTTACAACAAGTTTATTGGCTGTCAGTCTGTCTCTCGGCCCAATTCAAAGTGCTATGACCTATATTGCTTGGGTCCAGACTACTTGAAGGCTGCATTTTCTCATATAGTCCACAGATCTCATCTACTTTCTAAGAACTTCACAGGAAAGACTCACTGCCATTGCAGGTATGTTTGATGAGGTTATGGGAGATGGCATTGGCATTTTTGGTGGCAGCTCTCAGTCTACTGAATTCCCTACCTCAGGATGCTAGATTGACCTCCCTCCTTGGAGTAATTCTACTGGTAGGTAAAAATGTTCCTTTAAAAATTGGTTTTAATCTCTAAACCTTCCAGGTTTTTTTTTGAAGGGGATGAAGCACATTTCTATCAGTATTTTTTAAAAAGCAGCTATTTTAAATATATTATTTTTAAACTAACAGTGCTTTGAATATTATTTTGGTTTAATCATTTTAATGATAATGCCTTGATTTGTTGTGATTTTATACATGTGCTCCTAATTATTGCACACTGCATTGTGTTCCTTTATTGGATGAAAGGTGGGACATATATACCGTGTTACTCAAAAATAAGATAGGGTCTTATATTAATTTCCCTCCAAAAACGCATTAGGGATTATTTTCAGGGGAAGTTTTATTTTTTTCATGTACAACAATATACATTTATTCAAATACAGTAATGTCATCATCTTGTGGTTGCTGCGCAATGGTGGAGGGTGGGGTTTCACTTAACTGGGGATTATTTGGGGGGTAGGGCTTATATTAGGAAAAATCATACTAGGGTTTATTTTCAGGTTAGATCTTATGTTTGGAGAAACAGAGTACTGTATATTTGAAAAACTTCTCCCTTCTACTCAGATCTCCCCACTTACTGTATTCAGTATTTGAGGGTTTTCACATTTCAGAAGCATGGCTAGTAAGAATATGAGACTAGACCTTTTGTAACAACAGCATTCAGACAGTAAAAATCCCACCCTCTCCAGGAAGGGGCAGATCCTCCACAAGCCTTTTGTTTGTGCTGAATTTCTCCCATAAACTGTTGCTTTTGCTTAAATTTTCTCTGTTTTGTTTTTATTAGTATTTCAATGTCCATTACCCTGGTTATATTTCTTGTTTTTTTGCCATTTTAAGCATAAAATGGCTTGGGGAGCCTTTCAAGGGCTAAAAGGTGGAACAAGTGAGGGTGTATGAGGCACTCTACTTGGCTGAATCAGGGAGCAGGAGTAAGTACAAGTGTCATTTTATGCTACAATCACACCTACAGGATTCCTGCCCTAATCTAGGTATACCATAGATTTTTGTTGTCTGTGCCACAGATAATTAATTAACTGATTATAGTCATTAATTTATCTGTACATGACAAGTTCACAGACATATAGACAGGATAAAATAGTATATGAAAATGGAAAAACACAGTGGCTTTAATTGTGACAGATATATATCTATGTAGGTTAGGTGTGGCATTTCATTCTTGTTCAACTTAGTTGCACATTTACATCCATGATACAAAAAAAGTTAACACTGATTACACCACAACTTACCCTGTGGTTTGTGTCAGAGTTGGCATGATAAAAATTGATGTATTTTCCAGCAACCATACAACATACAGCTAAGTTCAATCTTTTTTCACAAGAATATGTTGCTTTTTGTTTAGGCAACAGGAGCTAGTGTTTTTTTAGTGATTCCACTCACATTGATTTTCTTCAGTTTCTGTCATGTGATCGCCTATACTGGTCCATAGGGGCAATAGCAGAAATATTCTGGGACGATATTTGATGATGTAGCATCTTTTTAAAAAGTTTTTTTTGCAAGTGTCATAGTGCTGAACTGATATAACAGCTTATCAGATTTCAGAGCTTATCTGACATAACACTAAGTAGTGACAAAAGGCATCCACTTGATGTTCCCATTGCACTGGTATACCCTTCAGTGGGCTATGTCATATGAATATAGTGTGAACATCCCCTCAAGTGAGCGCCTCTTGTTTCTCTTCCAAACATTTTTATGTCAGGTAAGTGCTGCAGTTTCACAAGCTGTTATACTCATTCAGAACTATGTTACTTCCAAAAATGTGGAATTAAAAAAGAGGCGAGGAAGATGATATTGTTAATGACAAACAAAGGTGGGTGACTTGTGATCCCGATGAGAACTGTGGCAATTTGAGGTGCAGTCTGGCCTCTTGCCCTGAAAACTGCCCAGGATAATGAAATATTCCACGTGAACTACAGCAATTTGCCATAAGAAAATGTGAATCTACCTAGAACAACCTCTCTGTTTAGTTACACCCAAAGATATGCCAATGTTAATACCACTTGAAGGGGCCAACACAAAAAGATTTGTATTAGAACTTCAGTTTAACGTGGTTTATTTTTGGAACAATTGCTTTTGGATGGGGGGAATACATAGCCAAGAAGCAGTAGAGAGGAGACATTTTACCTTTTTTTCTGTTTGTGGCTATTCCGTTCCAAACTGCACCTCTAAATTGCTTTCCCTCCTTGAACATGAATTTTATTCATATGTTAGCTTATTTATAGCACCATCTACGTAATTGTGCTTTACTGTGTGACTGGGCAAGACATGACCTTTCAGGCCCATATGGCCCCCCAGCTGTTTCTTTCCCACTAAACCATCCCAACCACCACAACTAGAACAGGGAGACCTACCTCAGAACAGGGAAAATCACACTCTTGGAAGCACCCAGAAGTAGTCTTGTTTTATCAAAAGGATGCCTTTTCATGTGCATTTTTAAAAACGAAAGTAAACTCTAGGTCATTTCTGGCAGGAAGGGGGAACCCCTGCATTTTTATGCATTTGCATCCCATGGCAAATCTCAGAGGTTTCAAAATTAGATCCCAAATCTGCCAAACTCAATTACCACTTATTCACAATGGATAAGAGACCAGGTCCCTACCCAAAGGGTATCACAAGCTAATAAGAGAAATAGAGAAAAATGGAGCAAAGATGTGGCAATAGGCAGTTATTTCACTTATCATTGCTTAGGCTTACTGACAATGGACTATTGAATCTATAGAACTATTGTTAAAATTTCACAAAAACATGAATTTTAACAATGAATTTAAAATAATGTTGGAAGTATAAACACATTAATCCACTTAACAAATAACCTGAGACAGTGGGAGATGATAATTAGCTAGGTATTCTTGGTCATCTTTCTCCCCTTTCTAAACAACCATTTGGTGACATGTAAATTGTCTTTCTTCCTTCTTCTTCCAAAAAGCTGTTGTTATTGTCTCCCTTTGCTAGAGGGTGACAGTCACACATGAGGTGTAGGCATCCTTCAGTCTTAAGATATTATGGTAACATGCTCTGAACAGAGGTCTTGGAACAGTGGCTAGTGTGGTTGAGAAGGCCAATTCGAGAGTGACAGTCCCTGCCAGTCACACATGAGGTCTCCTGCATAATGGTCTAGGGACACATGTAACCACATTTAGGGAGTCACAGATGAGGTTCGTTCCATTACGGCTACAAATATAATCGCATGTATGGCAGCCAAGCCTTGGGACTCCTGCTTTTATCTGCACAATCTCTGAATGGATTTTCTGTTGTAATAAACATATTTGCCCCATTTTTACCTAAATATAGAACAACTTGCAGAGTAGTTACTCTTACTTAACAACGATAGGCACAACACTAGTTTGCTGCACAAATACTAAATATTCTTACTGTAAGTAAGCATGAGAGGAGTTTGTATGGAGGATCCAGGGAGAAATTTCCCGATAAAAGGACAATAAGAGAGACATGACCAAGTTCTTTCAGATAGACTGCGGCAGGGGAAAAAGTATCTCTAGATTTTTATTTCCTATCACACCTTTTATACACGTTTTATACACATTTTCCAATTAAAAAAGAAAAAGGTAAAATAGTTTTATTTTAAAAAATAACCATATCAGGCCATTAAATTTCCACATGATATGCTGTTAACACCTATATATATATTTCTTTTAAGAAAATAAGACTGCCATTCTATGTACTCTGTGCTAGGAGTGCTTACCCACTGAGCCCAGCAGGATATTCTTCCAAGTACAGTGGTGCCTTGCTTAACGGGCGCCTCGTTTAACAATGAAGTCGCATAGTGATGAAGATTTTGCGATCGCTTTTGCGATCACATTGCAATGTATTAAACGGGTAAAAATCACTTTGTGATGATCGGTACCCTGTTTCGCTCACCGATCATCACAAAGCGATGATTTTTAACAGCTGATCGGCGGTTCCAAAATGGCCGCCGGGGAAACAAAATGGCTGCCCACTGTGTTTTTACGCCGATTCCTTGCTTACCGGGCAGCGAAAATGGCGGCCGTATGGAGGATTTTCGTTTTAAGGTGAGTTTTAAGCCCATAGGAACGCATTGAAGGGGTTTCAATGCATTCCTATGGGCTTTTTATTTTCGCATAGCGACGAAATTGCTTTGCAGCGATTTTTGCTGCACGGATTATCGTTGCTATGCGGGGCACCACTGTAAATAAGTTTAGTCTCAGACATCCCAAGCTCTGACTAAAGGTATAAAACGCTGGACCTGTAGAATACCTGTTTAAAGAGGACATCTGCTCCTTTGCTACTGATGTTATTATTTGGGAGATTTTCATTTCTTAAGTTTTCTTCAAAATTACGACATTTTCCTGAGGTATGTTTTTGCTGAGCATACTGCAATTCCTGCCAAGAGCAGAGCAGATTAAATTGCTACATTGAATTTATTACAAGCATTATTCTTTTATACTCAGTAAGTTGGATATCTTTCAGTAAGAACAAATGATCTGAGAAAAAAACAGATAATGCTCTTATTCCTATCCCATTATTAGCCATATTCACAGTCAAACTCTACCCAGGACCCAACCCTGCACTCAGTTATCTATGCTGTACTTCATTAACTTTAACATAATTTAACTTAAACGTATGCAACAGACTAGCTGAACAGATCAGTGAGTTGGAGTATCTTACTGTGGAGTTAGGGGTTGTGAGTTTGATTCTCCAGTGGGCCTCCAGGGAGAAGACCAAGCTGGCGTAGCCTTGGGTAATCTACAAAGACCGACAACAATGCTAAAAGAAAAGACCCTGACATGGGTTGATGTAAATTGGGATTAACTTGATAGCACAAAATTATTATCATAAAGTATGTACACTAAAAAAGCATAGTGATTTTTGCAGCAGCACAGCTTCACTTCCTTAAAAAAGCAAATTAGGAAACCTGCAGAACATTTGCAAAGCAAGTAAACAACATTCCTTATCACATCAAATTGGAACTAACTTATAGCGACCATAATAGGCTTTTCAAAGTCTGGGTCTGCTTAAAGCATTAGTTCAGAATATGTGTTAGTGTAAATTTATATTGACTCTGAGTCATGTGTCATCACATGGTGTTTGAATCGCAGTGTGCATTCCCTTTAAACAAATGCTTAATCTAGTGATTTTTGAAGGGGCACCCTCGCCAAACATGTATACAAATAAATCAGAGAGATGGTTGGCTTAGAAATTAAGAAAAGAAAAAGAAAAATCAATAATACAAACCTTGAAAAATGATAAAGGAATAGAAAAATCACAGCAGGAGGAAAATTTAAAAATTAAAGAAAATTTCTATCAAAATCTATACACTGAAAAAGAAAAATCTAAAGATCTACAGAAAAAATACCTGGGAAAACACAGTAAAATGAGGTTAACGAAAGAACAAATTCAGCTACTGAATGAACCATTCACATCTAAAGAAATTGTTGAAGCATTTAAAAAACAAAAAACAGGGAAGACACCAGGTCCAGATGGACTGCCAGCAGAATACTACAAATCACTAGAAACTACATTACTAAAACCATACAAGAGACTATTGAAATATATGGAAGAAAAAGGAGAAATACCTTCGACATGGACAGAGGCGTTGATTACTCTCATACATAAAGAAAAAAACAGATAAGAATGAAATAAAGAATTACAATAGACTGATCTCATTTCTAAATATAGATTATAAAATATACGCAACAATTTTGGCAACTAGATTGAAAAGGATCTTAATCCAAATAATCCACCAAGATCAATCGGGTTTTTTACCAAAAAGACAGCCGAGAAACAATATAAGAATAATATTAAACACCTTAGAATACTATGAAACACATACGGAAAAACAAATGGCTATGATCTTCCTTGACGCGGAGAAAGCTTTCGACAATGTCAATTGGAACTTCATGCTACAACATTTAGAAGTAATAGAAGCTGGGGAAAGATTTACAAAACTAATAAGAGCCATTTATACACAACAAAGCGCTAAAATATAAGTCAATGAAGAATTAACAAAAGAAATACAGTTGCAAAAAGGAACAAGACAAGAATGCCCTCTGTCTCCTCTACTTTTCATTCTTACGTTTGAAGTGCTTAACAATCAAATTAGAAGTAATGAGTTGATAAAAGGATTAAAAATAAGAGGAGAAGAATACAAATTACAAGCATTTGTGGACGACCTGGTTTTTATATTAGAAGAAACAACTAAATCAATAATACCATTGATGGAAATATTAGCAACCTTTGGAAAGTTAGCTGGGATAAAAGTAAATACTGTAAGAGAAAAACAAAAATACTAATCAAGAACATCAAAGAAGAGACAAGAATGGAATTAATAGAAAAAACTGATTTACAATTTGAGAAAAAGAATAAATATTTAGGAATACAAATTACTGTACAAAAAAAGTAATACACTAGTAAAAGATAATTACATGAAACTACTAGATGATTTCCAGAAGGATCTCAAAAAATGGCAGAATCTGCAATTGTCTTTGATGGGGAGAATAGCAACAATTAAGACGAACATTCTTCCCTGCATACTATTTCTTTTCCATACTATCCCAGTATTACTTAAACCAGTGGTTCTTAACCTTTGTTACTCGGATGCTTTTGAACTGCAACTCCCAGAAACTCCAGTCAGGACAGCTGGTGGTGAAGGCTTCTGGGAGTTGCAGTCCAAAACTCCTGAGTAACCCAAGGTTAAGAACCAGTGACTTAAACCATTTTTTTTTCAAGATCTCAAGAAGATGGTGATGAAATTTATTTGGCAAAATAAAAAACCAAGAATTAAAATTGAAGCTATGCAAGATACCAAACAAAGAGCTGGATTTGGCCTCCCTGATTGGAGTATATACTATATCTATTAGTCTGGATAAAGGAATGGATGACCCTTAAAAATAATAGACAACTCAAGCTGGAATGACATGATCTGATGCTTGGTTGGCATGCATTTATGTGGTATGAATAAGCTAAAGACAATAAATATTTTAGCAACCATTTGATAAGATCTCTGGGACAAGAAACAATATCAGATATATAGAAAGATACCAGATACACAACCCAACCTTATGACCGCAAACAGACTGCTCAGATACAAAGAATACAACTGGAATCTAGATATGTAAAAGATAAAAAGGAGGGTTTTTATAAAGAGCAAATACCCCTGGATAAAATACTATTAGAAACAGATGACAAATTGATTTTAAAAAATGTATGCATTGTTATTAGAAATTAAGATGGAAGATGAAGTGGTAAAAGATTGTATGACCAAATAGGTGCAAAGTATAGGGCATAATATTGATATTGATGACTGGGAAAAATATGGAAAATTAATTAAAAAATTACGAAACAGTAAATTTTTAAGAAAATTGTCACAGGATTCTTCTCTGGCTGGGGGCGCTGCTGGTAAAGGCGGGAAAAAGGGTCGGAGGCTGATCTGTACTTTCAACAATAACTCTTTTATTCTTAACAGCATTCAGTTCAACAGAGTCAAAAGGATCTAATAAACTTATTTCCGGTAACACTTTGTATTTTTGTACTTTAACATTGGGCAACAATCCGTCTTCTTTCAGAAGGGAGCTGGGCCAAAACGCTCCCGATCTGTCAGAGGCCTCAGGGGGACACTCCGCACCGCACAAACATTTCCACAACACGGGTGGCGGGCCCAATCCCCCTCCGGAGGTTTCTGTTGGAAAGAAGGACCAGGTCATATCACTCTCCTCCCCCCAGGGTGGTTGCGGGGCTAGACGACCACCGTCCATTCTAAAGGATCGAATCCTCTACCTTTGACACCAGGGAAAGAAGGGTCTGGCAATAGTCCATCTCCCCACTGCAAATTAGGGAAGGTCTGCGAGATCCCTGTCGCCTCTCCGTGATCAGGCATGGGCTCTGTCTGCACCCCTCGATTCACAGTTCCTACCAACGCTCCATCTGCAGTCCAACCGAAAACGCGCGCTTCTCCCTCCCCTTTCATATCTTCCCACATAATCAGGTCCAACTCCTCCCCTCCCTCGTCTACCAAGCACACTTCCGCAGGTCGTCCCAGTATCACTTCCTCCATCTCTATGTCTACCAATATGCCCTCGGCACATCCACTCTCAGCACCATGTTCCATGACTCAGAGGACAGCACACTTCTCTTCTGGACTTCACAAAAATATATATAGAGAATGTCCTACAAATGGTACATGACATCAGATAAGTTGTCAAAAATGTATAAAGGTACTCTATGTCTTATGCCCTCGGCACATCCACTCTCAGTCACCGTGTTCTGTGACTCAGAGGACAGCACACTTCTCTTCTGGACTTCACAAAAATATATATAGAGAATGTCCTACAAATGGTATGGTACATCAGATAAGTTGTCAAAAATGTATAAAGGTATGTCAAATATATGCTGGAAATGTAAATCACAAGAAGGAACCTTATATCATATGTGGTGGACATGTAGTGAAGCAAAAAATTATTGGATATTAATACATGAATGTTTACAGAATATTCTACTACATAATATACTATTTAAACCAGAATTATTCTTATTAAATATGTTACCAGAGAGTTTAAGTAAGAGACAGAGCCATTTGGTGATACATATAATAACTGCAACCAGAATACTATATGCATAGAAATGGAAGAAAACCGAAATACCAAATCGTGAAGAACTAGTGGAAAAGATTATAGAAGTGGCGGAGATGGACATATTAACAGAAGCTTTGAAAGACAATTCAATACAAGAAGCATCTGAAAAATGGGACCCTATATATAACTGGATCTGTTCTACAACTTAAAAGCCAAATGTGATAATTTTAATAGAAAATAGTCCAATAACTCTAGTTGAAATGATATAAGCAACTAACAGACACAAAAGTCTTTTATGTAATGGTATGTTTAAGTACAGATAATATGTAATAATGCATAGTATGATATATTCCCTGTTATCCTGAATTATTTCCCTTTACCCCTGAAAAATTTTTTTTAAAAGGTTGACCGCTGAAGAATCAATGCTTTTGAATTGTGCTGCTGGGGGAGACTCTTGAGAGTCCCCTGGAATGCAAGGAGATCAAGCCTATCCGTTCTGAAGGAAATCAACCCTGAGTGCTCACTGGAAGGACAGATACAGAAGCTGAGGCTTCAATACTTTGGCCATCTCATGAGAAGAGAAAACTCCCTGGAAAAG